TTGTCAATTGAGCTATAATAAGATATACAAACTTTTTAATTTCTTTTTGTAATTTATTTATCATCTCAGCATATAAATCTGGATATTAATAAAAAGAATTATAATAAATATTCATCTTGTAATACCAAGAACTACAGTATATCAATTCATACAAAAATTTTGTCTTTACAATTATAATACACATGTTGCTTATAATTAGAATTTTTATATTCTTTATTTTGAGTTTCTCTTGATTAACAATACAAATATATGAATCTGCCAATTGTGTAACTAAATTTTTTTTTAACAAATTTGCTTTTTGATAACTAATAATACAAAAAATTTTTTTTGGGAAAATTAAAAAATAGAATAGTTAAGTAATACAAAATAAAAATCTAACTTTATATGACCAAATATATAAAAAAATATAATAATTGAATCTATATCTATGAAAATTATTAATATTTTTAATTTTAATAATAATAAGATCAGCAATTTTCTTTTATATGTTTAAATTCATTTTTACTAAAATTGTATCTTATATGCTATATTAGCTACACTATTGATATTTATATTTTCTGTTAGCTATTAGATCTCATTTGCAACAAAATCACCTACTTTGAAATAATAAATTTTAATATATTCAATAATATCTGCTTGATCTGTTTCTTGGTTAATAATTTCATATTGGTTAATTAGTTCAATTAAATTGGTAATTACTAGTTTTGGTTTCTGCTTTCTTCTTTTATTATAATTAATTTTGTATTCAATACATATTTTGTGATGCAGACTACTTCAAATAAATTCTTCATCTAGACAAATGATTTTATAGTCTGAGCATTTTTCTATTTTATATAATTGAAATTTAAGCTATATAATCTTTGATATATTTAATTTCATTCTTAAACTCGAATAATATCACTTTAGCATATCACTCATGATAAATAGTATCAATATTTATATAAAACCAGATATACAGTATATTATTATTATAAAGTTAACTAATGATAATTGTATATAGTATAATAAGAAAATATGAATTTATAATATATCATTGCATGTAAAAAAAAAATATATTTATAAATATAAAAAGAAGATACAGGTTCATAAAATTGATTTTATATAATAACAAAGTTTAAATCAAATTTTCTGATTTAAAACATTTGATATTTATTAAATAATTTAATCATTTATATTCAAATTCTGACTTAAAATATGATTTTTAATCTACAGAATCTCTGATACAACATAGCAGTATTCTACAAAGATTATATCTTTTTGCAAAGCATAATAACAAAAGATTTAAATCTGCTTTAAATTGATTTAATTGATGATTCAGATAAGATTAGCAAAATTACTATATTGGAACAATAGTAAATTTTGAAATAAATACAATATAAATATTTATTATATGTTGAAATCTAATACCACTTCAATGAAAAGTAATTTTTTTATTAAGTTAACAACTCAAATCAATTAATTGAAAATTGTAGAGATTACTGAAACATATCTAATGGTAATTAGATCATTCAAATCAGTTTAGTGTATGCTAAGATACTAACTATTTAAAATTCTATATAAAAAAACTAAAAATTTTATATAATCGAACAATCATTTTTTAATGATATCTTGCATATACTGAACCGATTTGAATGATCTAACCACCATTAGATACATCTCAGTAAGCTCTACAACTTTCAATTAATTAACTTGAGTTGTTAACTTAATAAAAAAATTACTTTTCATTGGAGTAGCGCCAAATTTCAGTATATAGTTAATATTATAGGAGTATTGCACCAAATCCTAATATAGAAATTGTACTGATCTTATCTGGATCAGCAATTAAAATAAAAATCAATAATTTAGACTAGAGTGTTTAAACTTATATGATTTCAGAGATTTTTAAGTGTTTAAACAATGAAAAATTCTTGAAATTGTATAAATCTAGACGCTCTAGTAAAATTTATCACATTTTTTTTTTTTCTAACCCAATTTTTTTATTTACAATTACAACTAATTATGAGTTTTATTAATTTTAAAAACTGCGATGTTACTAAAATTAATATGCAAAATTGTTTATATGTTTTTTGATTGCATTAAAACTGATTAATAGAAAGATTTGATCATCAAAACGGGTTGTGATTGCATTAAGACAGGTTTGTGAAAAATAAAAATTAAGACAATAGTATCGCTTTCTTAATCTAAAATACAATGACGCATATTGTTTAATTTGATGCATTTTTATATAATCACACTTCAGGAAGAAATATATTGTTCTAGTAATTTATTGATGTTGTATAAAAGCTGAAAATAGAAGATATTAGTCAATGTATAAGCAAAATAAGATCATTATACATGATTACAAAAATAGAAATAATGGTGAGTATATTTAAAAATATATTCAGAAGTCAAGTACTAAGTAGTTTTTTGTAAATATAAAAATATTTTGTCTAAGAAATAACAATACAATACATCTAATAAAAAAACAATACATTATTTAATGAGGATCAGAATTATTACAATGTATGAATAAATAAAGTATCAATACGCTTCTACATTAACATATAAATAAATTGATATATAAATCTGACCTTTTTATCTTAAAAAAGTTTTTCATAAAATCTTATAAAATCGGGTTGCAAAAAATATCAAACCTTTCAGTTTACGATTGAAAAAGCATTCAATATTATACAGATCAATTCTAAGTTGAAAATTCTTTAATTACCGTATTTTACTGACTAAACCTGGGAACTTTACTTGGGCATTTAATATTATCGTTATATTCTCGTACCTCCCACCTCGCGTTCCTTTTTTTTTTTTTACTGTAAAAAAAAAAAAATAGCAGCACGGAAACTAAAAATTGGTCAAATGGGTCTTTATATACTGTAGTTAGTTCTTATAAGAAAAGAATATACGATAGATAATTTCGTTGCGTTCGTGCGTATTTTTTTTTATAACAGATAACGAAATAAAATATATGCTGCGGCAGTGACATGGATGATCGATCGGACGTCGATCATCGACCCTACCTCGATGATCGACACGGACTTTGGGGGACCGCCCTGATATACTCGTACGTACGTACGTACGTACGATAACGATAATTAGATATCAAGTATGGCTTCACAACATTTAGCTATTAGACGTCAAGAAATTATTCGAAATCTTGCAAATGTTAGACAGCGCATCGAAGCGATAGTTGAGGGAAAATATGAGGTAGTCACTAGTGTTGTTTCGTTAGGACATTTCTTTAAAATGTTATTTAAAATTGTCATAAACAATAACAGGCACGATTAGTTGCAATTAGTAAATTAAAACCAATGTCTGATATCCGTATAGCTTATGAAGATGGGCAACGACACTTTGGTGAAAATTATGTAGGTGCTATCCTTATTTCTGTAGTTATTACTTTCAATCGACATAAAACAATATCTGTTTAATCGCGAATAGGTACAAGAATTAGTTGAAAAGAGTAAAGAGGTAAATTATAGTATCCTTTATCTTTAAAATCAATTGAATCCTTTTTGACTTAGCTTTAGCTTCCTTTAGATATTCAGTGGCATTTTGTTGGTCCATTACAAAGTAATAAATGTAAAATGCTTGCAGGTACGTATTTACATTAATTTTGAATTTAATTATTTACATATTAAAATCGAATTCCATTAAGCTCCTAAGTCATTGAACAGCCATTCCAAATTTATGGGCGGTAGAAACGATAGATAGTCAAAATAAAGCAGATTTGATGAATAAAGTCTGTGCATCGCGAGAATCTCCGCTTCGAATATTTGTTCAAGTCAATACTAGTAGAGAAGAATGTATGTCATTTAATAAATCAAATTTATAGAAATTTCCGATTAAGTTTATTATTTTAATAATATTAGCCAAAAATGGTGTGTCCCCAGAAGAATGTATAACAGTCTTGAATCATGTTCAAGATAATTGTCCGAAATTACAACTTGTGGGATTAATGACAATTGGAGCTCCAAATCGTGATCCTAAAGAACCGAATCCAGATTTCATCGTATGGTCATTTTATTATTCTCTCTCTTTTACTCAATTGATACCTTTTTGGCTGAAAATTATTTCATTAAATTAGCTATTAAAAAATCTACGAGCTCAATTCCAAGAAGCAAGAGAAATAGAATTAGAATTAAGTATGGGCATGTCTGATGACTTTGAAGAAGCTTTAAAATTAGATGCTACTAATGTAAGGGTTGGATCTGCAATTTTTGGTGCGAGACCACCCAAACATTGACTTTTAATTTCCACTTATATATGAATAAACGCAATTTTATGCAATTGAATTATTGTTGGGGATGATGCTAAAATTGGTTGAAGCTAAAAATTTGAGGTCTCAATTTAGATTCATAAAACCTACTAAAACCTACTTATACTTGTTTATTAAAATTCTACCCATAAAGCTGACTCATAACCCTAAAAAAAAGCAAAAAAATGTACTTCAAAAATTTTTAAATTTTTATAATAAAATAGATCAAATTTTCAGCTTTAGCCAATTTTAGCTTTAGCTATCACAATTATTGTTCAAAGTATATGTAACATTTTTGCATTTTTAATTTTTAGCCATGATGTTTATCACGTGAACACCAAAATAGGGTTGGGCACGGGTAGGGTGAAGGGTACGACAAAATTTTTGGGCATGCTTTTTGGGTATACTTTTGGTTTTTTAGTTTTAAAAGTATGCTTTATAGGTATATTTTCAAAATTTTTTGTAAAGTAATTTTTTAGATTATACAAACTTAATAAATTGGTTTTTATAATATAAAATGTTTAAAAATGACCCGGCAACTCGCTTTTTAATTTTATTTTGAAAAAATTTTATATATAGTACAGGATACTTATAAATGACAATAAAAATAGCTAATTTTTAAAAGCTAATAGCTTATATTATAAAAATAATATAAAAAATAAGTTACTATTTTGTAGCTATGATAATTTATTATTTGAGTTTTTTTTTTGATATTAAGTGACTTCTTGGCTATCTTCTTTTATTTAATTATAGATTTAAACTTTACAATATACTATAGTACTGTATATCATATATATTTGAAGAGTATATATACTAGCTATACATACAACTTTTAATTGTCTATTTAAATAGTTCACTTATAACTAAGTTCTATACTAGATGTCATATCTATAATTCGATTAGAAGGTTATCAGGAGTTCAAGTAATCTATAGAGAAGTAAAAGTTTTAAAAATAGAAGAATCTATATAAAATAGTTAAAAATAAGTATAATATTTAAATATTTATTCAAAATTTTAAATAGAAATTTATAATTTATACTGAAGAATATTGATATTCAGGGTATTATATCTCAATAAATTGATTAAGAAACAGGGTTAGATATAACAGGAATAGTGTATAGTAAAAAATTTTTGAATCTGAACTACAGATTATTTCGATCTAGTTCTGAAATCTAATAAAATTTAAAAATTTTTAAATATTGAGCGAAGATATCTTGATGATCACCTTGATGAAATTATTTTAATTTGAATTTTACAGAATCATAGAATTCAAATAAAAAAATTTTCATCAAATTTGGTAAGATGGTCATCGAGATATCTTCGCTCAAAATTTAAAAATAAATAGACACAATTTATATTTTAATAAATATTTTGAATTTTTACCAACTTTGAATAAAGATATCTCAACAATTACCTGATCAAATTTGTTAATTTTTTTTATTTGAATTTCACAGATTCATAAAATTCAAACAAAAAATCTTTTATTGAATTTAGTCAGATGATTGCTAAGATATCTTCATTCAAAGTTTTAAAATAATTTAATGTAACTTCTATTTTAATAGATATTTTGAAATCATTTCATCTTTGAATAAAAATATATCAGTAAAAAACTAACTAAATTTGATAAAATTTTTTTTATTGGAATTCTATATATATGTAGAAGTTGAATAAAAAATTTTTATTAAATTTGGTTAGGTAGTTATTGAGATATTTTTGCTTAAATTTTAAAAATAATTTGGTATAGCTTTTATTTTAATAGATATTTTGTAAAGTTATCTTGGCAATTATCTAACAAAATTTAATGAAATATTTTATTTTATTTTTATGAATTTGTATAATTCAAATAAAAAAAATTAACAAATTTGATTAGGTGATCATTGAAATATTTTCATTCAAAGCTAGAGAAAATTTTAAACATTTATCAAAATATAAGTTGTATCAAATTATTTTTAAAATTTGAGCAAAGATATCTTGACAACCATCTTATCAAATTCAATGAAATTTTTTTTATTTGAATTTTACAAATCTATAGAATCTAAATCAAAATAATTTTATCAAATTTGATTAGGTGGTCATTAAGATATCTTCATTTAAATTTTAAAAATAATTTGATACAACTTATATTTTGATAGATATTTCAAATTTTCTCTAACTTTGAATGAAGATATCTCAATGATCACCTAACTAAATTTATTAATATTTTTTTTTTGAATTATACAGATTTGTAAAAATCAAATAAAAAATATTTTATTAAATTTTATTAGATGATCACCAAGATAACTTCATTCAAAATTAGAGAAAATTCAAAATATCTATCAAAATAGAAGCTGTGCCAAATTATTTTTAAAATTTAAATAAAGATATTTTAACAATCACCTAACTAAATTTAATAAATTTTTTTTATTTAACTTCTATATATCTATAGGATTTTAATAAAAAAAATTTTATCAAATTTTGTTTTTATTGATATATCTTTGTCCAAAATAAAACTATCTCAAAATATCTATCAAAATAGAAGCTATATCAAATTATTTTTAAAATTTTGAATAAAGATATTTTAGCAATCATCTGATTAAATTCAATAAAAGATTTTTTGTTTGAATTTTATGAATCTATGGAATTTAAATAAAAAAAATTAACAAATTTAATCAGATGATCATTAAGATATCTTTATTCAAAGTTAAAGAAAATTTAAAATATCTATTAAAATATGTTGTGCTAATTTATTTTTAAATTTTGAGCAAAGATATCTTAATGACCACCTTATTAAATTCAATAAAATTTTTTTATTTAAATTCTACAAATCTGTAGAATTTAAATTAAAATAATTTTATCAAATTTGGTTAGATGGTCATTGAGATATCTTCACTCAATATTTAAAAAATTATTAGATTTTGAAATCAGATCAGAAATAATCTGTAGTCTGAATTCAGAAATTTTGTATTATATGCTATCCCTGTTGGTCAGGTATATTAAGTAAAAATGTTTAAAACTTCCAAAAACCTTGTATAATCTAAAATTTGACCTTTATACCTGATCCTTAACTTTTAAATCTAATCTTTATTTTAGTATATAATTGTATCTAACTCTAAATTTTGATATAAAAATATTGTAAAAATAGGGTGGATATTATGACCACTAGTAAAAACAACTATTTTTCATTTTAAATAAATATTTGAAAATTATGTAATTAGAATGTAGTAGAGATTTAATTCAGTCAAAAAATATATATTTAAATATTTATTTGTTTAATCTTTTTATTTTTTATTTTATTTTTTTTTTATTCTTTAGCAACCTTGCCGATGATCCTTTACTAAGATTATTATACAAATATATTATATAATGTTGAGCTTAATATTTAGGCCCGACATCCCTCGGCT